CCCACTCCCCATTTCCCTCCATGCAGATGCAGTTCCATTGAGGATCACACACTGAGTACGGCTGCTCAGCCAGCTATGAATCCATCTGGTGATGATGCTGTCTAACCCACATTTTCCTATCTTATCAAGTATAGGTTGTGGCCTATTTTATCAAATGCCTTACTGAAGTCCAAGTAAATTATGTCCACAGCATTGCTCTGGTCCACTAATTTTGTCACCTGGTCAAAGAATGCAAGAATTTTTGTCTGGCATGATCTGTTTTTGACAAACCCATGTTGGCTTTTGGTAATGACTTTGTTTGCTTCTAGGTATTCGCTGATTTGTTGCTTGATTATCTTTTCCAAGATCTTCCCAGGTATTGATGTCAGGCTGATATGTCTGTAGTTTCCTGGATCCATCGTTTCCCCTTTTTTGAAGATGGGAACTACATCAGCTTTTTTCCAGTCCTCTGGTAGTTCCCCAGTGCTCTAGGATCTTTGAAAGATATAGTTCAATGGTTCTGAGATCATATCTGCCAGTTCCTTCAGAACCTTAGTTAAAGCCTTCTTGGCATTGCTCCAAACCTTTTGAAAAGAACCTTAGGGTGGTTGAGGATGGGATCTCCTGAGGGCATTCTGGAATGGGCACAAACTCCCTCCTTATGGCTAACTTAAATGAAATGAAACCAGTATTGCTGTGCACTGCATTGTTATATGCCACTTCTGCAAACGGCAAAAGCTCTTTCCTTTTGCCAAATGGCCTTCATGAGAGGGAGGGGGTACATGTTGTCCACGCAAACCTTGTTAATAATACAAAATCAACACACAGTCTCAGCAACCTATCTTTCTTCTCCTTGAATAGTATGGGGGCTGCTACTTGGGATTTTGTGGCTTAGGTGAACCCCCTCATCAAATTCTTGTCAATGTATTCCCTCATCTCTTTCATCTCCTTCGGAGTCATGGAGCACATCCTTGGCTTGGGAAGTTTCACCCTGGGCAGAATCTCAATAGCACAGTCCATAGGGTAGTGAGGGGCAGGATGTCACACTTTTTTTTTGCTAAATGCCTTCATGAGGACCTGGTACTCTCTCAGGGCAGATGGCTGTTCTTCCCCACTCTCTACTGCTCCCTTGCTACACTCAGGGGTTTCCCCGCCTCACCTTCCTTTTTGAATTTCTCTTCTCCCTTGTCAGGAAAGTTTGGGACTCACTTCCTCATAACCAACCACTTTAAGACTCTCTCCCAATAGATCCGAGGCCCCCACTTAGCTAACCAAGCTAGGCCCAGGATCATGCCTTCGGCCATCTTTGGGGTGACCATAAAATGAATAGTCTCTTGGTGGACTTCCAATTCTAGCTGTACCGGCTCCATCAGATGGGAAACATCCTTGCCTCCTATCAGCAAGCATTGACCTGCTCAGACTTCACAGAATTCCTAAGTTTCCTCACATGTAGTCCTAGCCTCTGCTTAGCAGCTTGACTAATTAGGCAACAGGAACAGCCAGAGTCTAGGAGAGCCTTAACCACCCCCCTCACCACTGAGCAGGATGCACTGATGAGGTAGTTAATTGGTCCATTCACCATCAGGTCATCTTCTCCCTCACTCTCACTGTCATAAAGGACCATCGGTGGCTCCTCTTCGGTTGGAGTTCCCCCCCACTCAACAACCTGTGTCGCTGCTCATGACTTCTCCTTTCCCTTCTTTGGTGGCTTCTTCAGCTTCGAAGGGGTTGGGGTCACAGCAGCCATCCAGGATGTTGGTCCCAAGCACATTATGGCTCTGACTGCAATGGAAGCACATGATGGGTGTGTGTTTGGGCAGCCTTGCAGGGGCTGGGGATGCTTTCTCCCCAAAGTGTGCCTCTCCTGGCTTTTCTTCAGCTGCAAATTTATGTCACCGCTGGTCTTGTATGCCTCCAGGTCTAACTCCAGGGTGGTAACTAGTTGGTAGCAATCACCAAGCTGGTTTGGGATCCCTCGGGCCAGACACAGTTGGAAGAGGTCATGGCTCAGCCCTTCTCGGAAATATTGAGTCAAGAGATGTTCCGGCCAGTTCCTCAGCCTCCCCGCAATCCTCCTGAAGTTTTGAATATACTCAATCATGAGTCTAGTTCCTGCTTGACCTTATGGACTCCAGCTCCACCCGTTGCATCTGTGCTTGGTCTCTGAACCGAGCTCTGAGACCACAGAGGAAAGTGTCTGGATCTGCCAGCTCAGGGGCACTTTTGTTGTGGAGTATGGTCACCCACTCTGCTCCCTCTCCTTCCAGGTTAGTCACAATGACATCCACCTGGTCCACATTGTCAGGATAATTATCTCCATGCCGATCTAGGTGGGTCCAGACTTGATTGAGGAAAACTGCCAGCTTTACTGGACTCCCACTGAATGTTGCCCTCATTGGTGGGGCTGGAGGCGGCCTGGATGGTGGTGCTGGCCACTGCACCCATGTTCCACAGTTTGAGTACATCCCTGGCTGTGCTCTGTACCTGCACCTCGGCTGGGGTTGCCAACCCATTCCCCCAAGCTGAGGAGCAAGTGGCAGTGGCAGGCTGCAGGCTCTCTACCCTGGACTTGGTTCGGGGGGGGGGGAAGGTAGCCCAGGAAGCAGGCTAACTGTCCCCCCCCCATCATTGCTGTTGCCGTTCTCATTGAGCATTGGGGTAAAGGGATCGCTGTCAGCATCAGGGCCAGGGCTGAACCCACCAGGGATTTGGGATCCAGCTGTGGGACCAACCCTCTTCCATAGACTGAAGTGCTGCCTCAGGTGTTCCACCAACTGGCTGCTGTATCTTGGCAGGTAGCACTCCCTGGGTGCTGTCCCCTCCGAGGCTTCATGGTTCCACCATTCCAACCCCTTGGCTCCTTTGGGCTGGGGGCAGTACAATCAGAACTCAGCTTCAACGATTCTACACAACTCCTCTCTCCACCTCTTCAACTCAGGCTGGTTGAACGCCGCCAGTTCCTATCAGCTTTGGGGTTTTCCTCCCTCCATTCAACTTGCTCCTTGGGTTGGGTTGAGACTGGTGGAGTTACAAAGTTGGAATTCCACTGATCAACCCCAAGGTGGCTCCAGCTGGCTTCTCTGTTTCAGGCATCTTCTCCTGAGTCTTCACCACCCCTCTGGAGGCTCCCAGTAGGGGCTCAGGAATGGAATTTAAATTGTTTAGAGAGCTAGCTTAGTGTCAACTTCCAGCTGAAAAGCCCAACCAAGCAAAACATCAGAGCCATTGTAAACTTCTAATGTATAGTTTTATTGAGCAGAATCAAACTGGCAGGGTCAAAGGAAAGCTAGCTCTAAGGAAATGGTGGAAAACAGTTAATTAAAAGAACAAAACTTCTTTCACCCCTCTCTGAAAGTACAGGTCACATTGTCCAATACATCTAGTTTGCCAAAACAATTCTTTGGCAGCTTCGGGTCTCTTGTTGCTAAGGACACCTGTAAGTTCAAAGCTCTTTCCCTTCCTCCCCCCTCTGTTGGCAAGTTAGAAGCATGCTACGGTCCTAAAGGTAGTCGGTTTCGTAGCTTGATATTTACTCCTTCAGATTCACATGAACTATACCTTAGTGCTGAAGAAACTAATTGATGATATGATAAAACTGTATTTACCGTTATTACTTTTCAGAAATCTTGTTGAACAGGTAAAATGCCTGTTCATGTTGAGAGGAAAGCAAATATATTATCTAGCTTCAAAAAAGAAAGACTGATTTAGGAATTATAGATCATCTTAGGGAATATATATTTGGATATTGATATCTTGAAAGATTTTATAGCATATCATAAAGAAATTGATCTATAAGTATGTTGAAAACAATGCATTGATTACTCAAAAGTTAGGGTACGTTTTTAATGAATAGGACTTTTATCTCAACTTTTGAGAATAAATTGTAGATAAGCAATACATGTAAAATATTTTGATATAAGCAACATCAACAACATATCTTATCAGAAGTCTATGCCAGAGGATCTAAGGAAGAAATTAGAAAAGCAACGCTATGCTCCCTGATGCAAGTTTGGGCCCTTTTGTATATGATATATACACATATATAAAATCATTCAAAAGTAGAAATTTGAAGTATAATGCTCCACAGATGGACTTTGAATTTAGTGTTTTTCTATAGGGTTGGTGTTTTTAATGTTAAATTTAAATGTTAATTTAAACATTTAACCTTGGGTTACAAATTCTGGTCTTGATAGTTCTAATAGTTTGACCCATGTAAATTTTAGGACAGGATAGCTTTTATAAGAATGTTTTTCGTAAATGATTTGTTACTTGAATATAACTTGAAACTATTTTAGACTTTTACTGAACTATTTGAAAATTGGCCATGTTTAGAAGTATTATTATATGTAATTTGCAAATCATTCTTATGTCCTTTTTGTATTATTTGTGTTGTTATAGAGCTGTTGAAAAGAAAAAAAACCTGAAACGTAGTGGGCCTTAATAAAAACTTCTTTATTAGTATGTGGAAATAGCTCCTTTCTCTGTCTCTTTTGTGTCAGCAGTTTCTGCTTTCTTCTGTTATAGTGCTTTAATACCACCCTGGTTGCTCTGGATTGGATAGCTCATGCTGCAAATGTGCTTTGAGAGCCAGACCTTGAAAAAAAAGGATATCTGCAGCTCTGAGAAGGTAGAGAATCCTGATTAGATGATTAGAAAGATTTCTGAACATGACTTACTTAACAACTGACTTGCTTAGCAACACAAATTCTGGTCCAAATTGTAGTCATACCTATATAATGTTAACAAGTACTTAGTCTGAAGTATAGTGTCTGTGAAATGTAATTTTAATTTCTGTCATTTTCTGTGCCACAATATATTCACAATCAAGTTGTTGATTTCTAATATACTGTAATAAGTGAATGTAGATTAATAATCTATCTTTCATGCAGGCAGAATATGTAAGCAATGATAATTTGTGAATAATAACTTGTTTATGCAAGCAGAGCAACCTGGCAATTATGCTTTCCTCTACAAGAGACAAGGATAAAGTTGCATATGAGTACAGATAGTCTTCGACTTACAATTGTAATGATGCCTGCCCATCACAGTTGGAAATCATAACTACCATAAAAAATGTAACATGAAAAAATGAAAAGAGAAATTCAGTCAGTAGAGAAAAAAAGAGAGAATGTACTTGTCAAGTCTAATGGCTATTCTATTTGAAAAAAATATGCAAAGAACTACATATTATATTCTAGCATCTCTGACTTTCTGATCCTAAAATTCTCCTTACTACTGCTGTTTTTTCAGGGGTCAGTTTAGCTTCAACAATTCTTCAGCAGTAAAATGATTTATCTTAAGTCAGAATTTTATATCTAATTTCAGTTTGGTTGACAGAACACTACTTATAATTAACTACAGCTAATTTTGATAATATCAGAATAACAGCAGATGAATTTGTCAGTTGCTAACCCCCAGATTTATATATATTTTACTGCATGTGATTTATTTTCAACTTACATCTGTGATCATTTTTCCTCTGGTTTTGTTCCTTTCTCTGTGGTTGGCTCGCTTCTGTTTCTGTTGCAAAACCCGTTCCCTGGTGGTACGATACTCCAGTGCAAATTCACTAATAATCTTGCAGAATTTATTGATGTTGACTTCACGGATTGCATAAAGAGGATAGCCCATAAATAACAAGAAGGAGTGGAACCTAGACAACCATAACAAGTTACCTTTTAGAATTTTTCTATGGTTAGTAACAGAATGCCCCCACCCATTCTTTTCATGCAGAAAATCAAATTTTGGCATTTTGGGGGATAGAAGACCTCCAAAATCCCTTCCAACTCTGTTACTCTGTTAAAAAAATAGAGGTTTTTGAATTAGGAACTTATATTCTATGTTTTCCAGATATTTCTGTGCCTTTGAATCCCCTTGCCTTATGTCCAAGGATTTATAAATATAAAGAGAGTGACAACAAAGATATAGTTTGTGATAATTTTTTCCTTATCTTTCATGTGATGATACATAAAATAAATTTTGGAGGAATGGAGGAACTGAATAACATATTGATTTTATTTTATTTTTACTTAATTAATATTAATCCAATATCAGTAAGATAAGGATGTTTGGAAATACTCTAATAAAGAAAAAGATACATATACCATCCATCCATATTTGTCATTTTGATAAATTTCAGATTTATATCTAATAGTAGCAATCTATTGTGAAAGATGGCTTCTTACTTTCTTGTTCCCTAGTAGTATTTATTCATTATGAATTGCACTGTATTCCATTATTTTTTAAAAAGTAATTAAAATATATTTTAAACTTAGGAGCAATATATATACAAAATTATTATTTTTAAGTCTTGCTAATAATAAATTGTTAATAACTGCTAAAAATATTCAGCTGATGTGAATGAGAAAAGCAGATAAAAGTTCTGCATAGGACTCAACTTCAAGAACTTAGTTATTTTAAGAATTAGTGACTAATTGTTTTCTCTCTTACATAATATTCTGCAGAATATCATGTATCTCTTTGTAATGCTCCCACTTGCTGGTTCAGAGCCCTGTTCCTGAGCTCTATGAAAAATAAATCCATGCCTTCTTCCACATGATGCCTCTTCAAGCATTGGAAGACAGCTATCATGACCCTCCTTAGCCGTCTCTTCTTTAGGCTAAACATACTTGGTTCATAAGATTTAGAATCAATCCCTCATTATCTTTATTGTTCTTCTTTGCATTTTTTCTAGTTTCTTTGCATTCTTACATTGTGGTGACCAAAACTGGACACAGTATTTCAGATGTGGTCTGACAATATAGCATACGGCAGGCTATCATTTCCTGTTATCTCAACACTGTCTCTCTCTTATTGCAACATTTGTTCTTTTGGCAGGTGCAGCATACCAGTAGTCATGCTTACATTATAGTCTACCAGGCCATCCAAAATTCTTCTTACTATTGCTAAGTCAGGAATCATCTATCCTGTCACTATTCTCCTACTTTTTCTTAGTATAGAACTCTAAACTTGTCACCACTGAATTACATTTTAATGGAAAAAGCCCAATGCTCTAAATCTTTCAAGATCCTTTTGAACTTCAAGCCTGTTTTCTGAGCTGCTGGCATTGCTTCCCCTCCAACTTTGTATAACTGCAAATTTGCTGAACATTTTATCTTAACATTCATAAAATATTGAAATGCATCTGGTCTAGGACAGAAATCTGAGCACCTTACTGTCTGTCTGTCTGTCTGTCTGTCTCTCTCTCTCTCTCTCTCTCTCTCTCTCTCACACACACACACACACACACACACACACACACACACACACACACACACACTTACTTTAGTATCAGTACTGAGGCCAATTTATCTGGCAGTCACCATTTTGTCCCTGCCCATTTGTTGGTGGGGACAAAAAGGCAGCTGCATTTGGATCCTTGCTGCATGCCCCAAAGACAAACTGTTTTCTTTTGCTGACTTCTACAGCACAGTGCTACAGAAATTCTCTAAGACAGCAAAATGAAATAGTTTATCTGGTGCCAGCCATTTTGTCCTCACCTGTTCATGGCTAGGGATAAAATGGCTGCCACTTGTGGATCGCTGCAACATAGCCCAGGAGCACATGGCCTACTCTCCTTCCATAACATGAAGTCTGGATAGCTTCAGAAGATAAGTGTAGGGTATGATGGGCATGTGGAGAAGAGGCCTAAATACTGCACCTTCAAGAGGGATAAAATGGGGGGTACTTCAGCAACCCTGTTATGGGTTGTAAGGCTGAATGACCTAAAAGCCTACTGTTTTGTTAAACAGCCTATTGCACCTTAAGGATTAACTGTAGCATATTGTAGATTTTTATCATAAAGATAGCTTAATAAAAAAATAAAATGAATCTAAAGTATTTGTTGCTGGAATTAAAAAAAGAATTTAAAATATTTGGTGCTGGAATAAATCAAGCAACGGTTTTATGGAAAAGTTTTTATCCTCTTGACCAAACATTCTCAATGTATGGTTATAACCTCCTGGGAGATCCAAAGCAAATTTAAGGAGAAGGGAGTTGTCACACTATTTATTATAATTTACACATATTATCCAGACAGAGGAGAAATGTGGTCAAAATGGCTCCACTTACATTTGATTGCTCTGACTAATCACACCAATCTCAACCTCCATGTAAATATAGAGGATTTTTGTGGGAGGGGGTACTCAGCTTGTCACAAATGTCATGGCAGTAAGAGTACCCCTCCTTAATGATCTACCTTTCTCCAACCAGACTAGAAGTCCCTGGGTCAGGGTAGGCTTGAGAGGAACTAAGAGTTGGCACCTGGGATTCTGGATTGAAAGAAGTGTGACCAGGGCCGGGAGGAGAAAGAAAAAATGATGGCTGCCACTGCCTTCTATTCCTTCTGCTTGTGAAAGCTGTGGTAGTGCCAGCAGCTTGAGTGGGAAAGGCAGAAACTATGTCACCAACTTTCCTGCTCATCATAAGGATATGAGTGATACAATGCCACAATGAGGCAGGAATAGCACTCCAGACTTATCTGGAGCAGCACATTCCCATGGATTGCAAACATTAGTCTCTTCGGTTGTGTACCTTTCTTCGAGCTTTCCACCACCTCCTTGCAAAAAAAAAAAAAAAAAAAGTAAATAAGAAAGGAGCACTTTGGTTTTCCTTCCTTCACATGTTTTACATTTGGGCTTCATGGAAATAAAAACCACTTCTTCCTAAGTGTCTCATAATGATTAAATTGTTGGAATGGCATCTGGTATCCCAGGTTCAAATCCATCTTTAGCTATGGAAACTCGCAAAGTAATTTTGGACCAGTCATTCTCTCTGAGTCCACCCTAGCTCTCACAGATGTTGTAAGAAGATGTACTGTGTATGCTAAATGAGGTTTCTAAATGAAAGGTGAAAACATTTTAATAAATAATTCATTGGTACATATATAAACAGGAATGGGTTTTTTTTTTCTGATTTAATGAATACTATCCTGATGAATTTTGGAGATTTTCTCCGGGAGGGTCAGTCAGATAGACTTTATGGCACTATTGTCAACGCTGCTAACATCAGATGTTCTTGCTTTGACAATATATGAAGATGCAGCCATTTTCTCTTTAACCTGTGTATTACTTTTAGAGTTAGAATTAGATGGTGCTGGAGGGGAGGGGGAAGAATATGCATGGGGATTAGTTAGACCAGTGGTTCTCAACCTGTGAGTCGGGACCCCATTTGGGGTCGAACGACCATTTCACGGGGGTCGCCAAACAGCGCAGTCCACCATTTTTCCCCCTTTTCCTTAGCTGTGCTACTCCCTTTTTTTCTATTGGCTTTTGAAAGCCAATAGAATAAACTCTCTTGAATAGAGTCTAATTCTATTGGCTTTCAAAAGCCAATAGGAATTGTCCAGGCTGTCTCTGCCCTGCTGAGCCCACCAAAAGTCCCATTCTGTAAACGGTGCTGCACCAGTTGAGTAGTCCTCGACTTACGACCGGTTGGGGGGTCGCGGCATTAAAAAGGTTGAGAACCACTGAGTTAGACATAACAATATCTCAGTAGAGCAGTGGTGGCAAATCTATGGCACAGGTGCCAGAGGCAGCACTCAGAGCCCTCTCTGTGGGCACGCGCGCCGTTGCCCCAGTCCTAGGCCTTCAGGTGGGTTTTATAAAATCTTTTCACTTTAGGCCTGCACCACTGTGTGCAAAAAAAAAAGGTTCAATCAATCAATCAATCAATCAATTTCAATTTCTCGCGGGAAAAAAAAGATCTTGCAAAGTTGGAATTGATTGATTGAACTTTATAGTCCCACCCAGTCTGCCGTTACTACTGCAGCCACGCCCAGCCAATGGGCCACACCTACCCAATTGGCTACACCCAGTCAGTGGGTCACACCCACCCGGCACCTGACGACGCGTAAGTGGGTTTTGGTTGCAGTTTGGGCACTCGGTCTCTAAAAGGTTCGCCATCCCTGCAGTAGAGTATTCTTCAAGGTTGTTTGAAATAAGAAGAGATAAGAAATGGTGGGTTATGGAACTGGAGGGAAAGTTCACACGTCAAACTAATTAATGACTGTTAATTGGAGGAGGGAATTATGCTTTGATACTATGTGTTTAGGGGTGGAGAATTCAGATTTTGGTTGCGCCTATGTACGTGCCAAAGCTATGTTGCGCAATTAAAGATTCTTTAAGGTAAACAATGCCTCAAAGTTCTTTGAAGAGTTTCATCTTTCAGAACCATGACAAACATCTTAAAGAAATTAGTTTAAAACCATCTTAAGTAATTAGTTTAAATCAATTATATCTTGACAATAACCTCAGTTATTTTGAAAATACATACTTCTTTCATATAATTTTCATATATTAATCATATTGTGCCTTAATACTCTACCTGTTGATTATTCTTCTGTGGACAATCTTTAAAATTATTATTCTTTCTGCACAGTCTTTAAGGAACTCTGACATTTTTTGCTTTAATGTTGATTTCATTTCATGCTTAGCAATGGCCTTCAAATGATCCCATGATGCTTTGCATCTTTTTTCCATTTGACATAAGTTATCCTGAAGTTGTTCAAAGTCAACCTGAAAGGAAGAAAAACAATACAAAACTGTTATATAGACTAGTACT